GGTTGAGGGAGCTTTGAAATATAAAAGTTAAACAGTAGCGGGGAAAGGACACCACCCTGTGGAACCCCCTGTTTGATTTTCCTAAGTTTGCTCGATTTGTCTCTAAACATTACCGACGAGTGTCGACCACTCAGACAATTTGCCGACCACCGTTTGAGCCTCTGTGAGAGAGAGGAAGCCTCTATATCTTCTAGTAGCGTGAAATTCCTGACAGTGTCAAAAGCCTTTGACAGGTCCAACGCTACTAGAATCGTTCCCTCACATCGGTCGATACGAATCTCCTTTGTTGGCAGGTTTCCCCGGTTTGAGCAGTGGGACCACTCTCCCCACCTTCCAGATGTCTGGGATGATGAGAGTGGCCATAGACTAATTGAGGACCTCCGTTAGGTAGGCTACTCCCGCAGGACCCAAATTTTTCAGCATCAGCATACATATTCCGTCGGGATCCATGGCTTTGGGGGCTTTCGCCTTCCCGATGGCCACCTGAACTTCACCACAAGTGAAAGCTAGGGGGCACAATTTGTTGGCAGTTTGTGCAGCCTTCTGGTCACTCGACGCTTGGTTTTGTCCACCGGAGGATGCAGTATGAACTGCCGGCTAAAGTAGCTCGCGCATCAGTGACAGTGACCTTACGGTTGACCAAAGCTTACTCACACCAGAGGTGAAGTTACAGGTCTTCAGATGTTCTTCCCACTTCTTCCGCTTATGTACCTTCACTAGTTGCCGAATCTCCGCGTTGAGATCCCTGATACGGGGATCTCCGGGATCGGCCTGACGAAGGCTCACGCTCATCGGCTAGAACAGCCGCTTCGGCAGGGAAATTAGGACGTGGGTCCGTGATGCATCCTGCCGGTACGAAGCGGGTTGCAGCAGCAGTGACAGCCCTGCGGAACTTACGTTCACCAAGGTGGACGTCGGTTAGTGTGGGGAGAGCAGCGATGGTGTTTTCAGTAAATTCCGCGAAGCCTTTCCAATCAGCTTTGGAGAAGTTGATATATGTTCGGTGCTCCGCGGAAGCAAAGTTGGTTGGTTTATCGATCGAGATGACTATGGGCAGATGGTCTGATGACAAAGTCAGCTTAGGTCGCCATGATATGCTGTTTATCACACCAGCGCTGCCTATTGCTATATCTGGCGAGCTGCAGCAGCTGCCCATAATCCTGGTGGGTGCGTCGTCGTTCATTGTGCAGAATGTCGAATCGTCTATCTGCTCAGCCAAATCGGTTCCCCTACGATCGTTTCACCTCTGAGGAGCGCACTTATGTCAGGGTGATATCCTGCCGGGCAGCAGTTTCGAGGGTGCGGGGTGCGAGAGATGTGTGTGGCCGCGACGCTATTGGCTGTGTGCGCTGCTGAGGTGGTTGCCGCCCTGTGGTGTTGGTGGGTGGCGTCGCGGTTGAGGTTTGCGACCGTGCTGCGCAACACGGGCCCTCGAAGTTCCTCGTCCAATCTCGCATGGTGCGCAGACCTGAACATGCCCTAAGGTGTCACCAGCCAAGGCAGGTGTTGCATTTGACTGATGTCACATTACGGAATATCCTGGTCTGACATACCGTGCAGATTGTAGGAGGAACCAAGAGTTGTTGACGGTGGCGTGTGTGTGGTGGTGCGGTTGTGTGTGTTCTGTGGTCTGTCGCGGTTGTGGTGTGGTCCATTGTGTTGTTATGTTGTTGTGCTGTGGTGTTTGTGTGGGTCTGCTCAGGTGGACTGGGGTTAGCCGTGGAGGCTGCTCTTTTTGAGCAGCAGGGGGCCACAAACGACGTGGTCCACTGCCGATGTGTCCTTAGTCCTGAGCAGACTCCGAGGTAGCTCCACCCCTCGCAAGCATTGCACTTGACTGAGGTGGAGTTGTGGCGTAGTCGTCTCTGACATACACAGCAGGTGTAGGTTTCTGGCCCTGGGTTTGACTCGATGCCAGCCCTGAGTAGAAGAAAACGTAGCGAATGCAGCCCTATGGACGAACAACTTCTGAGATACTTCGCCGACCTAAACCGGGTTAGATCGCCGAAACAACAGCCCTTGGTCGGGTAAAACCCGAGTCATCCCGGTACGTAGAACCGGCTGTCGTGGGAATAATAATAAAAACATGGAGGTGGAAGATGTTGCCGATATATCAGCGGTTCAATTTTCACTTTTGGTTTCCATGTATGTACTATGGGCGGATGACAAATTTTCGGATGATTTTTTTTTTTTGGGCGAAACTCAAGATAAGGCAGATTACTTTAATATAAGGTTTGAATTAGTGATGCCAATAACAATAAATGAGAAAGCCTTTAATTTTAGTAATTATTTGAATAATTTTTATATAAACAAAATCTTTCTAATATCCCTCTAGTATAAGTAAGTAGTGCAACGTTAACAATTTCAGTAGACACGGGGTAATGACCAGTACGTACCTTTCTGTTTACCTTTTCCTTTCTTTTTTATTAACGATGTCATAGGCTGTAGATTATCGCCACCACATCGATTACCAGAATACAGCGCATTCGTTATTTTCGCCGTCGTTTACCAGAAGTAGTGTACTCGCTACTTGCCCAGGTATTTACAGTAGTGAGTAAAGTGACTACTTACCTAGGTATTTACAGTGTAGACCTAAGTCACTACTTACTCAGGTATTTACCGTAAATTGCAAACTCGCTACTTACCCAGGTATCAGCATACTCGCTGCTTACACAGGTATTTACTATGGACAGTGTACTCGCTACTTACCCAGCTATCAGCATACTCGCTGCTTACCCCGGTATTTACTGTTGACAATATACTCGCTACTTACCCAAGTATCAGCATACTCGCTGCTTACCCAGGTATTTACTGTTGACAATATACTCGCTACTTACCCAAGTATCAGCATACTCGCTGCTTACCCAGGTATTTACACTATACAGCATATTCGCTACTAACTAAATTCATTTAAAATGAAAATATACAATTACAGGCATGCTTTTACGTACTAATTTATTTAAATCCATTGCTTCTACAAATTGCTTATACAAATTTAACTTGAAAAATATTGCGAATATAAAAAAAACTAACAAGTGGTATATGTTGTGACTCACACAAACTTTTTCAAACTTTGGAGAAAATTCAGAAAATTTTCCAAATTGCAAACTTTTTAATAACAATTTCAATTTCGCGAAAAAATCAATTCCAAATACTTGTGCGAGTCACTGTATAGATATAAGCGATTTTCTATTTCGTTAAGGTTTAAGAAAGTTTAAAATTAATAGTAATAACTAATACTAAGTTCAGACCAAAATTGATCTTGTAATTAACATACTTATCGTAATTATCTCGCCAATCCCCTTGAGATAGCAAGATTTCGCAAGTGGATCAGGGGNTTAAGGTTTAAGAAAGTTTAAAATTAATAGTAATAACTAATACTAAGTTCGGCCCAAATTGATCTTGTAATTAACATACTTATCGTAATTATCTCGCCAATCCCCTTGAGATAGCAAGATTTCGCAAGTGGATCAGGGGTTAATCCTCATGAAATCTCGCTGTGCAACCCTGATTTAGCGCCCTCTGTTTGTGAAAACAAATTCACCACAGCTGATGTTGACAATTATTAACTGTCAAATTGTAGTTAAGAATTAATATAAAATAAACGAAAGTTACTGGCGAAAATTTAATTGCGGATGGACTCTAAAAAAAAAAAAGGGTACTTTGGAATGAGGCGGCGGAGGCTGCTCTGATTGAGTTGTGGCGCGAGAAGATGCCAGAGCTGCGGTCAGCTCGAAAGAATGGCCATATCTATGAGGAGATGGCCAGCGATCTGGGAAACATTGGCTTCGTATATACTGGAGCGGAAGTGAGAGTTAAGTTGCACAACTTCTCCAACAAATACAGGTACATAAGTAGCTACTAAATTAACTTTTATTTTCTTTCATTTATTTGTTAAATACTTATAGGCAAGAAAGGGCAAAAGTTGGTCCGTCGGGTGGCTCTCCATCTACGTGGAGACTGTATAATGCCGTCCATGAAGCCCTTGGATGCCAAAAGAGCTACTGCGCTGACGAGTTGATGGAGGATAGTATTATGGCTACGTAATAATAAATTCTATTTAATTTCGAGNGAGGCTCTCCATCTACGTGGAAACTGTATAATGCCGTCCATGAAGCCCTTGGATGCCAAAAGAGCTACTGCGCTGACGAGTTGACGGAGGATAGTATTATGGGTACGTAATAATAAATTCTATTTACTTTCGAGATCCTTTTTTATTGTTTTATATGTATATAATATTTTAGTTGATTTTGACTGCAACGAAGCCGAGTTTTACAAGTGTATCGGAATCGAGACGGATGGAGAGTCAACAACATGCCCACCGCTTCCCAGTCCTAGCTCATCAAATGTAGACTCCTCCAATAGGCCTTCCTCGAGCGAGCCTGCAAAAAACAAGAAGAAGACGGCAGTGTCAGTGATGGAGGATATGCGCACCGACTTCTTAATGGCAACTCAAGAAATGAAGCAAGCAGATGACAAACGGCTTGCCATTTTGCAACAGTATGCGGATAATGTGAGCGAAATGAAAGACGCGTTCGTAGAATTTCTTCGTCGTCAAAATAATAATTAAATATATTAACTTTGCAGAACTTAAAAATTATCCGACGTGTAACATTTTTCCATACAGCCAGAGTCAAAAGATGGTATGTACTTTGTTGTAATATAATACTTATTAGCAATTATTCTAGTGAAAAATTTTTTTCCTTAATTTTGTATGAAGATATATCGACTGCTGAGTGGAAGATCGCCCTATCTCGGCAGCCAGTTCGAAAACGCCCTATCCCAAAAAACTTTTCAAGAACGCCCTATTTAAAAATTTTATTGAAAAACACACTATCTCAGAATTTGATTGAAGAACGCCCTATTTCAGAATTCGACTCAAAAATGCCCTATCTAACTTCAAAATGTATTGGAAATGTGCTGATATATGGCGTTTTTGAATCGGCAGCTGAGATAGGGCGTAAAATTCACAAATTTCCAAAAATGTTCATCAAATTTTCAAACTTTTTATAGAAGCTGAGGAGAATTTACGAGCATGCAGTTTTGTAGCCCATTAAATTTTAGTACAGCAATATCGCATAATCAAAATCTATTTATATATATGTACATATGTATATAGAAGAAAAAGCGCAACAGGTGGTTAAAAACAAATTCTCAAAAATCTTCAGCGACTTGAAACTTGCGCTTTTCTATACTAAAATTAAATGGCCTACGAAACTGCATACTCGTAAATTCTCCTAAGCTTCTTTAAAAAGTTTGAAACTTCAATGAAAATTTGTGGAATTTTTGTGAATTTTAAACAATGTGTGAAACTTTGATTTAGATGGTTTATGTTATAAAATTAACTACATATATTTTCATACAAAATTAAGGGAAAACTATTTTCTTGAAAATAATTGTTAATATTATATTAGTACAAAGTGTATACTACCTTTTAACTCTGTATAACTGTATATTAATTCGTTGAAAGATTTTCCTCCGAATGTAAATACGAAATGAGAATATAACAGACATTTTTTTTTTGAGATTAGCAAATTGCCGGAAAGTTAATGTATAGCTCCTAAACTATTAATTCGGTTGAAAAATGTTGTTGCCTTGGATGATAACAAATTCGATAAGCTTTACTAGTGCAAAAATAAATCTACAGATTGGCCAACTATATTAAAACTATGCCAATTAAGCGGGTGCAATCTTTTCTGATTTCCAAAAACCGAAATTTGCTAACCTCAAAAAAATTTTATTTCTTATATTCCGATTTCATATTCATATATTTTGGGAAATTTTACATCTCAAAAAACTATTTCAAATTTTCAAAATATTCAAGAATTTATTTAAAATATCTCGAAAAAATATTCTTTGTTATATTCCGATATAGTACTCGGATTTATTGTCAACTAATGTAATAAATAACATACCAAAATGCGAAACAAAGGCTTGTCTTATTTCCTCTGCCCTTGTGTTAAAGATTTCAGATATGTTGGGTTCGTCTTCTGGCCACTGTCGACTTTGGTCTTTAATTTGCTGTGCCGCAATCCACTTTTCATTGATTTCATCATTTTGNTTTCATCATTTTCCTCATTCAGGAAGTTGTGCAAAACACAACATGCTTTGATAATAGCTTTCGCGTTGATCATGTGGTTGTCCAGGCCTTTGCCAACCCGCCTAAACCTTGCCTTTAAATGGCCGAAAGCATTTTCGACAACTCTTCGGCACTTAGACAGGGCAAAGTTAAATTTTTTTTTATTCAACGGTTGGTTAACGCAAAAAGGATACGGCTTCATCAAATGTACATCTAGTTTGAAGGCAGAGTCGCCTAGCAAAATAACTGGAACATTAACAGATGATATTTGCCTAGTCATTTCTTTGAACAAGCTGCATTGTTGGAACTGCCGTTTTAATGACGAACTTTCAAAGATTGCTGAATCATTACAACGGCCTGGACTACCAACATTGATGTAAATGAAACGACACCTATAAAATAATAAAAGAAAATTATATGTATGTTAAAAAGTTCAAAAATAGCTTTATGTAAAAACTTGCCTTGCATCCACCAAAGCCAAAAGGACCATAGAGTACCAGCCTTTATAGTTGTGGTAATCAACTGCATCTTCTGCTGGTGGATGAACTTCTATGTGGCACCCATCTGAAACCTTCATGTCAAAGCAAATCCATTCTAGAAAATACAATTTCTTACCAATAGCTCCTAACACTTGAGGGAAACCCAGTGATTCAAAACCATTTAAATACTCCCTTAATTGAATTTCGTTCATTGGGAATTTATTCAAATATAACGGCCACAAACATCTCCACAATTCATGGCAGAACTCAATCAAAATGGTGCAGACAGTGCTNCTGTACACCTTCTACATTTATTTTCATCTGGTCACACAAAACGTTTTTTAAATTTTTGGCTACACCCTCTGGTCCAAGGTTACTTTGAATTGCCGATATCTGTGAAAATATAAACCAAATGAAATTCTGTGTCTTTACATAAATATGTACTTATGCATACATACATATAAGATCCTGTTTCCTCCATTTATTTTTTCATGGATTGTCTTCAGGCCCTCGAGGTCTCCAAAATTACCTTCTGCTCGGCCACAGTGTCCGCCAAAAAACCAATTTGGTTCTGAGTGATGCTATCTTCAACTGAAAATAAAAAATAATTTATTACAAAATAAACAAATTGCCCCTCTCAATATACATATGTACCTTTTTGTTCATCAATTTTGGTTTCTATTTCTTCCATCTTTTCCATTATGTCATCAAGAGTTTTTTTATATCGTTCAACATGACTGAGCAGCCGCAATTCCGTTCGGGTTCTGAAATAAAATTAAAATTATTATATTATGCACATTAAAGTAGTCCCAAAAAATTAAGTCGGCACATATATGTATATAGGTATTTAAACAATAAATTTTAAACTACTTATGGCATATACCAAATTCTACTTTCTTAATCTTTCGTCGAATTTCGGACATTTTTAAGTACTTGTTTAGTTCAATGGTGACGGTATTAATATACGAAGTGTGTACGTACAACATATAAATGAAGGCAGTTAGTTCTTGTAATGATGTAGCATTGGCAATAACAACCAATCATTATAGTACGGTATGCCTACGGCATTGCATTCAAAATCCAGTGAAAAAAGCTCATCTAGATTACTCGGCACGAGGTCAACTAAATAAATACCTATATTGGTAGAGTCAAATGGCTCGGTATAAAAACTCCTAAGATTCCTAAATCTCCTACCAACTGTATTTCCACCATTATCTTCCATAAAAGATTTTGGCTGCATTTCTTTATTCATTCTGAATGCTTGGAATAAACTTTTTTGTTTATTTATTCTTTAGAACGTTCCTGATGATATGTTGACGTATATTTCAAACGCATTCTGTTTATTCCGGCTGTGAAATGGGATTATCCGGAATGTATAAAGAAACGCAGCCTTTATAATAACAGGTATATTTTCTTTAATGTAGATATAATTGTCAGGTGATTTAGCTGTCAAAATACAACCATGAAACTGAACTGCCAACTAATTTGGGCTCACTGACAAGAGAAGGAACTACAATCTTTTCTTCTTCTATTTTCCTATGAATTTGTTCTAATATTTTGCTAGGCTTTCGAACACTGCGCTTAAGAAATTGTAGACAATTTTCGAATGCATAAGACGACCCTTCAACTGGATCGCCTACCTGTTCTATGGTCTCCTTTATATGAAGCAAACTATGAGCATTATAACTAAGGCAATTTTCCCCGAAAATAATTGGAAAGTTTTCTACGAAAAGTCCTAGCATTTGTTGGCACATATTCAAATTCGATGAACGTTGTTTTGGCCAACATAGCATCCTATAAGCGCAATGGAGTAAGGACCGTTTGCACCATGTCTAGTTAACGCTAACTGGAGGTACATCCTTCAGTTAAGCACGTTAACTGCTTTATCGATCACATGTTATATGATGGGTGTCGATAACGTCGATAAAGATGTGTAACTGGGAGTTAGAATTAACTAGACATGGTGCAATCGGCCCTAAGAGGAACTGGTAATATTGGCCGTCAGACAGTTCGTTTTTAAACACTACAATCCCTGTCTACAGCGGAAATTGCTTAAATTCTGTGCCTTTCCAATTTGGGTTTTATTTAAATTGGTTTTAATATATTTTCAGTTTATTCTATTTGAATTTATTTTATATTTGAACTAGGCCTGTGCGATTAATTGATTACTCAAANAAAACAAAAATATTTGAGTAATTTGCTTTATGATTAATCAACATTTCGAGTAAAATGAGTAATCAACATTTCAACTCTTTACATATGTATAAAGTAGTTAAAGTTCCTTGATACTGTGAAAACAACGTTTCTGTTTTCAAAAATTAAAACGAAATTTTTTTTTCATATACAGAATGTTAAAAATAAAATAAGCATTTTCTAAAGCAAACTCTTTTAACGAGCAAAATTATTATTTTTGAGTAATCATATTTCAAGTAACTCGATTAATCATCGTTTTGAGTAATCAAAATCTTGATTACTCGAATAGTTGATTT